ATACAAACATTACTAAACCTGGTCCCAAACAGAAATGGTTTCATGAGGTGACAGTGGCTTTTGAACATTCATTTGACTGATTATTTAATGTTCCTTGTTAACTCATTGCAATGATCGCATGGGGGGGAAGATGAATATTTTTTGAAGAATAGCTTATTCTACTTTCGATTTTTAAAGATTGAGGGGATTAAAATATTACTTTTTAAATATACATAAAGCATCTTAACTGTAATTATATTTTCAGTTGCTTTGTTATAAATAGCATGCATATCAAATATAAAATGCATTTATGAAATCTTTTGTAAAAAATAAAGATTTTTCATTTCTCAAAACTGCTTCTAATTACTATTTTATATATTTATGTAACACAGCCCTTGGCATTAATATATTTGGTAATAACCAATCATAGTGCTTATGGTAAACACTGTATCAAGCTCTATTACCGACCAACATACAGTACTTCTTCAACTCAACATTCTCAATAAGGTTCTCCAAAAACTTATCATGTATAGGGAGGCTTTTCTTTGCCTAGGTCCCTGCTGGCACTGTTGCTATTATCAAACAAACCCTGGATTTAAACCATTTCTATACTTTTAAAAGAACCATATTCAAATTTCCATTATCGTGACCTTCAAACAGTATCTCCATCATGTCTTTTACTCATATCCACATTAATGGGTACAACTTCTTAAAATGAGGCACTGTGCTGTGTCTAAGTTACGCATATTCTGTCTTCGACATATATTTGCTTTCATTCACTTCCCCCATCTCACAGATAATAGTGTAGGGGGAGCCACTCTCATCTCTTGTCTAGAATATTAATGCTTTCTTTTTTTCAGAGAGATTTTTGCTATAGGGTACATGTGTTTGCCGTAGAGACACAGAGAGATGGAAAGCAAGAAATCACCCCCAGGAGGAGTGCCCACACTGCAAGCCCTTCTCCTCCATTCTCCTCTTGGGCTTTTGGGACCTGGCGTGAGTGTTAAGCCGTTGGGTCCAGAACTCATACCATGGTTCACTACGTGGGAATCCAGCAACATAACTATGATGCCACCTGCTGGCCCCTGTTACTGCTTTTTTACTGAATCTTCATGTTTCCACTCCAGCTTCCTCAAATTTTAGCCAGGACAATCTTTCTACATTGAAAATCTGGTAACACCACTTTCCTGCTTACTATTTCTTTGATGACTTCCCATAATTTCGATGAAAAAGTTCAGACTCCCTGCTTCAACATACAAGGACTATCATATCTTTTCCTGTCCTGCCCTCACAGAGCCTTGGCTTTTTGTAATGCCCTAAAAACATCATGTTTTCCTGTGCATCCACGTCTTTGCACATACAGTCCCCTTCTGCTGGAATGAATGCCCTTTTTTTGAACTCTCCGTCTAAGTTCTGTCATTTCTTTCTTAAAACTCAAGAGGCTGAGGCAGGAGAATCGAGTTTGTGGCCAGCATAGGCAACACAGAATGGCCCTGCTAAAAAAGCCTGGCATATTGGCAAACACCTGCAGTGCCAGCTACTTGGGAGGCTGATGCAGGAGGATAGCGACGCAGCGTGACCCTGCCTAAAAACATGTGCGCACAGACACAGCTTCAAGCACT